CCCTTCTTCTCGGGGTCGAAGAGCAGGTGTAGCAGCTTTGGGAAGAGGTCGGCCTGAACCGAGTGGAGATACTCCATTGCCTTTGCCGTGGTGGACAGGGCCTTGAGGCAGAGTAGGTTCTCGTGGAGGAGGGCGTCTTCGTGTTCCTCTCTGTTGATTTTTGCAGTTAGATGTTGGAAGCCCTACAGAGAGGAAGAGAAGGAAAGAGGGGGAAAAAAAAAACAAAAAGAAAAAGAAAAGAAAAGATGTTGCAGCGTACCTCCATTCGACCTCCATGATACGCTTCAACAGCCCGACAATCTCCTTCATCCCGCCGTGCTGGATAAACTCCTCGATCCAGGCAACGGTCTCGTTGCGCAGCAACAACCTCAGCTTGTGAAGCTTACCCACCTCGACCTGCTGCGGCTGGCGCACCTTTCTAAGGTACGCGACGAAGTCGGCCGGTCCCTGCTGCATCTTGATCTTGGATAGCAAGGTGCTCCCGGCAGACGAGTTGCCGCTCGAGACGGGTCGGTCGCTGGTGACGCTGTCAGAGGACTTGTTCCTGAAGTGCCGGCCCAGCGTGCTCTCTCCCTTTGTCGACTTTTTCGATGAGGAGCGCTCCTTGTCCTTTTTTGCGCGCGAGAACGTGAAGCTTCGGCCGCGCGTCCGCTTCGGCTTCTCCTCCTCGGCATCGGAGACGACGGCGGAGGAGGACGTGGCGGCGGAGGAGGAGGGGACGGCAGCAGCAGTGCCAGTGCTCGCACCAGCACCTGCGCCTGCACCAGCTCCAGCACCAGCACCGGCGCCGTTGATGCTGCTGCTGACGCTGGTTCGAGGGCGATCAGCCTTGCGCTCCAGCCTGGCGGCGCGCATTTCGGCCCAGTCCTGTCGGATAAACTCCATCTTGATGGTCTCGCTCAGGTTGCGCATCTTGTAGCGCTGGTTCTCGGGGATGTTGCGGCGGTCCAGGAGCGCCTCGAGCTGCTTGTTGATCTCCTTGAGGTCGAGGACATGCGGCGCGGTGGGCGAGCCGCCACGGGGAGTCGACGTCTCCGACTTGGAGCGGCCGTGGCCGAAGCTTGCAAATGCGCCAAAGACCTTACCTCGTTCGCGGATGGACTTGCCCTTGGACGACGCCGACTTGGAGCCGCTGGGTGATTCCGACTTGAGGGAAGACTTCTTAATGTCTTGCTGCGACCGGGTCGGATACATAAAGGTACGCGGGCGTTCCCTGGTGACGGAGCGCCTCTCGGACGAGTCTCTGTGATCTATGTGATCCCTGTGGTCCCTTGGGTCTCTTTGGTCTCTGTAGTCTCTTTGGTCCCTCGGATCTCTCTGGTCCCGGTAATCTCTGTGGCCTCTGGAATCCCTCGAGTCTCTAGAGTCCCTGTGTTCCCTATGCCCCCCATGTTCTCTGTGCTCCCTGTGCTCCCTGTGACTTCTAGTCGGGCTGGGCGGCCCCAGAGAGTTGGTGGACTCATTGCTGGGAAACTGGGCGTACGCGGGCAGCGTGGCGCTGTGAGGGGGCTCGTCCGGCGTTCTGTTTTCCTTATCCTTGCCCGACTGTATTCCCTCGTCGTCCGTCACCAGCTTGTGTAGGCTCTTAATCGTCTTGGGTCGGCCGAGCAGGTTGGTCAGGTTGGCGCCCGACTTGGCCTTCTTGGGACTCTTTGTGGGCGACGAGTCGCGCGACTTGGTCATGCTCAGGAAGAGGCTCTTCTTGGTGGGCGAGTCTGCGCCGGAGCGGGCGGAGGCGGCGGGCTGCTCGGGGTCTGGTCGGCGTTCGTCTCGCGACTTGCGGGAGGAGGCGCGCGGCGCCGGCTCCTGGCGGTTGTGCTGCAGCTCGCCGAGGGCGGCCGGGCTGTTCCTGGCGAAGTTGCCGGCGGGCATAATGTTGGTAAACTGAGCCTCCAGGGGCGAGGCCTGCAGGGCGTCGTTGGCGGACTGCTCGCGGCGGTGGATGAACTTGAGGACGGACGGCTTCGGTCGGTGCCGTGGAGGGCTGAAGTTGGGCGAGGAGGGATTGTAGAAGCCATTGCTCGAGGCCATGGCACTCGGCTCGAATTGCGTCGAGCAGACCCGGCTCTCTGTTTGCCTGCCTGTCTAATCACCTGCTTCCCTTTTCCCCCCCTTTGTTCTCTCGGCCTGGGTATGCGCGTGTCGGCTCCGGGTTGCACAGCCTGGTGCTATTTTGCGAACGTTTGCCCTGTAACACACAGACAACAAGACAGGACTTGGGACTGTCTCGGACGGGGGAGGGAGTTGAAGGACGCGGTGGAACGGATACAGGAAAGAACAGCCGGTTGATCTGGAAGCGCAAGGTATGAAGTAGGTAAAAGGGAAAACAGGCGAAAGGGGAGAGAGGAGGAGGGGGGGACCCTTGGCAGCTCCAAAGGGATCTGGGGGGTTTAGATGACGAAGAAGAGTGAAGGCTGGTAATAACGGGGGGAGAGAGAGGGGGGGGAGAAAGCAGTGACGGTATGTATGTAACTAGTAATGCAGCTGAAGAAGACGAGAAGAGAAGAAGCAACGGAAGAAGCGCGCCGAAAGGGGAGGTGGAGGGATGCCTCTGCGTACAGTAGCCTACATGCAGCTTAACGAGAGGCGGCGCGGCATTGCAGAAGTGCGGGATGTGCAGATGATGGATGGCTGGCTGGATGGCTGACTGGATGGATGCCGGATGGATTCGAGGGCAGGGAAGGCCAAGCTGTAGGGTGAGGTGCCTGTCTGTACCTTGCTCCTGTTGGTGTGACGACGCTTCTGCTTTGCCGGTGGCTTGTCTCTTTGTCTCTCTCCCAACTCGTACGCCGTGAAGTGCGCCTACATGGCCTTGTTTCCCAGATGATGGATGCTGATGATATGCATCAACGCGGGCAAAAGAGTCGAGGCGAGGCGACAATGCAGGAGGAGTGATAGCGAGCAGCTACTATGTAGGTAGGTATGGATAGATTGATTGCGTCAGGTGGAGATGCTTCCCTTTCCTTGTGCCTCTCGTTCGTTTATAGGGGAGCGCTGCTGACCTTTCAGAAGAAGAGAGGCGCGCGGATTATTTTTCGATGGGGAATTTTGGGTCGTTGCCGGGGCGACGGGGTTGATTTTAGTCCAGAGCATGCAAGCATTAGGTACCTGAGGTACCTGAGGGTCCGACTAAGGTAGGTGTACCTTAGTAGTAGTAGCACCTATAGTTGCAATTCATGAAAGTAAAAGGGCGAGTTGGGGTTCGATTTTGTTGTTTTGGTCATGTAGATGGTGACGATGCTTGATTGCTGGAATTTCTGAGATTTTACGCGTGGAACAGAGATGATGGTAGGAGTTGTGCCGTCCAAGGGCAGGAGCTGTTTGTTGCCATCATGGAAGGCAAGAGCGTTCGGGCGCCCCGAGCTGGTGCTAGTACTGGTACTTGTACTTGTACTTGTGCCTGTCCCTGAGAACTGGAGCTGAGCCAGCAAGTTGGTGTGTGTGTGTCTGGTTAGGTAGTACCTATATTTGGCCGCGTGGCAGTCAACAGGTGAGACATGCAGTGCCAGCAGGAATTGCCGGGCTTTCTGGGGAAGCAGCAGAAAAACATCCAGCGAGGCAAGTGTGGATTTGAAGTGTCTGGAATGAAGTCTTTTCTCTTTTTCCCTTCTCTATTTCTTGTTGTCGTGAAACATACCTAACTTCAGCCGTCGTCATTGTTTGCTTGATTGACTTGACATTGATGTGCTGATGCGCCAGGCGGATTGATGCGGTGTGGTGGCATGTACCGGTACATGGTTGCCGGCGTCGCCCCTACCGCTTCTTTGTGCAGGTACCTATGGTAAGGTATAATCTGTCCGCAAGGCATGACATGTTGTACATACGGACGGACAGACATACCTACTAGTAGTATTACTGACATGGAAAGACTAAGGCAAGGTACGGATGGAGAGAGAGAGAGGCTGGAGGAAAAAGAGGCTGGGACTGGAGCTTCCATCCCTGTCGCTGTTGAGCAGAGTCTAGGTTCAAAGAGGAGAGAGGGGAGGAGGACAAAGAGAAGAGCGTCGAAAGAGGTAGAGACATGTAGTCGCATGTGCCTGTGACGAGATTGGGAATGACATGCTTGCTGCTGCTGCTGCTGCTGCTCTTGTCTCTTTCGTCACGTTGCACTTAGAGGAGGTTGGGTGTGTGTGTGTGTGTGTGTGTGTCCAATCTACTTTTACACGCGCTGAGGCTATTGGGCGATTGGCTTGTCGATTTGTGAGGTGGCGTGCAGGAGGAAGCGTCACCCGCGAGGCGAGGAGCGGCAGGGACTTGGCGGGCCAATTGTGTTGATGTTAGGGGAGAATGTACTGTAGAGGCTGGTTTGTTTGAAGAAATGGCATCTCGCTCTCTTCCGTATAAAGCATGTTGCCAAAGAGGTATTTGGAGCGTTGAAGGGGGCAGTCGTCCGTGCAACTTGGCCGGTGCATTCGTGTTACTACAGATGCCTGAGTCAAGGAGCTGAGGAGGTGCGAAGCATGGGCGCACGTGTGATCTGGTACATAGGTATCATACTGGAGGCTTTGCAGGGGTGAGGGGAGACATTTGGGTGTTGATATCTGTGAGAAGAACAGAAGAAATTGAATTGAATTGAATTGGCGAGTTGAAGATGGTTTGAGTGAAATGGGCGAGACAAGAAAGGACAAGTCCTGGCAATCTATTTGGCTTGTGCGATGCTTTCACCAATCGTCATCACATATCACACGGCGGCATAAGCACATACATACTACATACATCCATGTACATGATGCAGTCTGCATGCATTTCAAGGGGCTGAGTCTAAAGACGTCAGATATTCCACGACTTAGTACAGGAGATGGAGCCCAAAGAATCGCTGAACAGAAAAGTCCATCATGATTAAATGAAGAAAACATACATTGTTTGCATTCTATCAAATTTTTGCAGCTCAACAACGGCATTTCCTCTCGTAAAATCATTATACAGTGAGATTTCGTGACAAAATTTCCAGCAAAACATTACTGCATCATACAACCATATGCATCGCCATTTCTTCTTCATCAAAACTGCTTGCCCTTGTAGTCCTTGGGCGCCAGGATGACATTGTACTCGAGATCCAGCTCGGCCTTGTCGTCGCCCTCGCGCGGCTTGAAGTCGACAATGAGGTCGTTCTTGACGGCAAAGACGGTGTCGGTGGCCAGCCAGGGGTCGTCCCTGGGATACAGCTGCGTGGTGCAGCCCTTGTAATCGGGGTGCGTGACCTTGAAAGTCTGAAGTCAGCATCGAATATAATCATTCCCTCCCGCCCAAGCCATCTCGATGCTCCGTCCCCCAATAGACTCACCATGATGTGAATATGCGCAGGCCGCATCGGATGCCTATCCATCAGCGACAGCAGCTGATACGCCGGCCCGTCCGTGGGCAGCGAGTACGCCGTCGGGTGATAGCAGTAGAACCAATACTTGCCGTTGTCGTCGGCGCGGAACTTGCCGCGCAGGTTGTTGGGCGACTGGTTCTCCGGGTCCTGGAAGTCGTATTTGCCGTTGGCGCTGGCCTGCCAGATGTCGAAGACGGCGCCGGGGATGGGCTTGCCGGTGACGAGGTCGGTGATGGTGCCGTGCATGAGGGCGACGCGGCCGTCGGGGTTGGGGTCCTGGATGATGGACGAGCCGTTGTCGCGGAAGGGGGCGTTGGGGGACCAGAAGGGGCCGAGGATGGAGGACGAGGTCGGGTCGATGTCGCCCTCGGCGACGATTTTGTTGGCGATTTCGTCGACGAGGCTGAGCCGTGAGTTAGATGGACTGGATTCCAAAGAGAGTAGAAGCAGAGTTATGAGAGAGAGAGGCTTGAAGTTGGGGTGTGAGGAAGAAAAGGGTTGAAGCATGTCACAAAGACAAAAGACACACCTCTCCAAGCCCAGCACGTCAGACACCCGGTGCGCCTCGTTGCGCGTCTTGGTCGAGATCTGGCCGACCGAGTTGATAAAGTGCACGCCCGCCATCCACTCGTCGGGCGTCAGCTCGACCTCGCGCGCAAAGTCGTGCAGGTGCCGCACCAGGGCGCTCATGACCTGCCGGTTGCGCGGCGTCATGTTGGGGCCCATGGTGTCGATGACGCGCTGCGTAAAGGTCGGGTCGAAGCGGCTGCTCGGGCCTTTGGCGGCGGTCGTGGCCGTGACGGGGCCGTTTGTGCCGTTGACGCCGTTGGAGGCCATGATGTGTGTTTGTGTGTGTGTGAGAGAGATGGAGGTTTTGGAGTAGAGATAGGATGTCGTGAGGTGGAAGGGCGAGTATATGTGTGACGATGTCGGTTGGGTATAATAAGTGAAGCTTCACGACGACTGAGATATCAAGTGGCTAGATATACGGAAGGAAAAGGTGTGAGTATCAAACGAACAACAGAGGGATGCAGATCGATGACATTGTCGATGTATATATATATATGTATATATATATAGACACATCCATATACTAGTAGTAGGCACTACACCTTCACATGTCCACAAAGCATCCCATTTGGGGTACACACACACACACACATACGGATAAAGACTCTCGATCCCTTCCCCTTCTTCCCCCCCTCCCATCCCGCCAAACCCAGCGCCACCCCCTCGACGGGAATTACATACTAGGCCTCGTGGGCGGTGGAGCTCAGGTTTACAAACGCACGATTTCTTACTGGGAACCACGGAAACGGGGTCCGGGAGCTGATGTCGGGACTGCTTCAACATGGGGGTGGGTGATTCGCCGGGAGAGCCGCGCCGGAGTTGCATTTTGCGTTGAGGGTCGGCCAAAGACATCGGATGCAACGTCCATCACGACATGCATTACCTAGGTAGTCACTGCCTCCACGTTCCGTTGGAACCACCACCACAACAACAAAGTGGCATTTCTACTGCTGCTTCTCTTGTCTCTACAGCTCATCATTTCAAACGTAGATATAATTCCCATCTCCTCTCGTAGTGGCTCACACAATCAAATAATGCTAGTATCTCATCCAACCCCATTAACTCCCCGGATCCCCCTTCCGGCCTCACCCTCTTAACTACCCGCCTTCCCTCCTCCTATTACCACTACTACCCCCAGAGCCGAATCCCATTGATCTCATCCCCCCCAAAGAATTACCGAACCTACAAACCGGCGGCAAAAGCCCCTCATTTGCTTCCCCTCCCTAGCGCCCATTCCCCCACATTCACTCTCATGCTTCTGCTTTTTTTTGCCCCGCGATTTCACTTTTCTGTAGTACTAACACCGAAGCAAATAAGCGGCGAAACCGAGACAAGCGATGATGTCCCCGTCATCGGAAGCTGGGTTCGTACGTGTTGTAAACTTAGCTGTATAATACGGTAACCTGAGGGTTCTGCTTCCCGGATACAGCGGTCCCTTTCGAAATTGCATACATTTACGGAGTACATGCACCAGAAATATGTACTACCTTACTACTAGGGGTCTTTTGGTGAGGCGGCCGGCATTAGCTTCGGGATGAACATTGCGGGATGGCGCAAGAATCGATGCAGGGGGTAAACGAATATCCAGGGCAACAACCCAACTCTTCTTGACGAATGAACCGCTTTTGCTATCCTCTATGTCATTCACCAACGTCATCTGCACACATGCGAATGAGCTAGGTATTACCTTTTGACTAACATTTGGTCTTTTCCTATTGTCAATCGTATGATGGTCTTGTAACAGCAACATCGTCCCATCAACTCACTACTCCCAGCACTGAATTGCAACACACAACTCTTACATCCTGACATCACAAGGGGAAAAAAAAAAAAAAAGAAAGCAAAGATGCCGGTGCATCACCTCATGGTCGGCACATGGACGCCCCCAGGCGCAATCTTCACCTTTGCATTCGACGACGAGGCGCTCACGCTGAAGCTCATCGCTCGCACCGATATTCCTCGCGATGAACCCATCTCGTGGATGGCGTTTAGTGTATAGTCACCTCCCCCCTCCCCCCAGCTTCCACCTCTTCTCATGTAACACATCATAACAAGAATTGTACTGATCGATATATTTCTGAAAAAACCGTGTGTAGCATGACAAAAAAACCATCTACGGCGCCGCCATGAAGAAGTGGTCCAGCTTCAAGGTCTCCTCGCCCACCGACATCGTCCACCAAGCCTCCCATCCCATGCTTCACCACCGTACGTCTTTTCACACCAAACACACACACCCCCTCACACGTATCAATACATACGACCCAAGAACACCACATTTCAGTCGTGACCAATCTAACAGACAGACAATCATAAAACATACAGCCCTCGCAGCGTCCCCCTCGACAAACACCCGCGCCATCTTCCTTCTCCCCGCCCGGAAACCCCCCTACGCAGTCTACTGCAACCCCTTCTACACCCACGCCGGCCACGGCTCCGTCTTCGCCGTCGACCTGGCCTCGGGCGCCCTCGCCTCCAACGTCCAAAACTACGAGTACCAGCCTAACAGCGGCATCCACGGCATGGTCTTTGATCCCACCGAGACGTACCTCTACTCCGCCGACCTCTCCGCCAACAAGCTCTGGGTCCACAAGAAGAAGCAGAACACCAATGCGCCACCACCACCACCACCATCATCATCATCCTCGTCCTCCTCTTCCTCCTCTTTTTCTTCTCCAGAGCTAGAGCTCGTCGGCTCCGTCGAGTGCCCCGACCCGCGCGACCACCCCCGCTGGGTCGCCATCCACCCCTCGGGCAACTACCTCTACGCCCTCATGGAAAAGGGCAACCGCCTCTGCGAATACCTCATCGACCCGGCCACCCGCATGCCCGTCTTCACCCACCGCCACTACCCGCTCATCCCGCCCGGCATCCCCGACCGCTGGACGCAGTACCGCGCCGACGTCTGCGCCCTCTCCCATTCGGGCCGCTACCTCTTTGCTTCGTCCCGCGCCAACAGCTTCGACCTGACGGGCTACGTGGCCGCCTTCAAGCTGTCCGAGTGCGGCGCCATCGAGCGCCAGATCTGCCTCAATCCTACGCCTACCAGCGGAGGGCATAGCAATGCCGTGGCGCCGTGCGACTGGTCAGACGAGTGGATCGCCATTACGGATGATCAGGAGGGCTGGCTGGAGATTTATCGGTGGCAGGACGAGTTCCTGGCTCGTGTCGCGAGGGTGCGTGTTCCGGAGCCGGGATTCGGCATGAATGCCATCTGGTATGATTAGGACACCACGAGAGAGGTTGGGAAGGAAAAGACTTAGAAGAGGGTAGACTCCACATGAAGAAAAAAAAAGACTTTCAAGCATTGGAAATCCATGATATTGACAAACAATAGGGCCAGATGGAGAGTCTCCCCCACCCTTCAAACGCTGAATAAAAACATAGAATTGGTGAAGAGTAGTGACAACACTTTTGTTCTCAACAAGACTCCGTGTGTTTTTCGCCCCTTTCCATTCGTCTTCTGATATTATTCGGACCTTGGTGAATGTTCCGTCGCCAACAGCTACCTCTCCCTCTTGCGCCACTGGTCGCGCACACCCGAAGCCAATCTTTCGAATCGTCGTCTCTAACTTGCGCCGTTCTGACCCTTTCCCAGCAATGGCGTGGTTTCGTTTTGTTCGCTGTGCCCTTCTGCGCCTTCCGAGCTCCCGTTGCCATTGGCCGGTTTTGGGTCTGGTGTTGTGGTGGTGGTTGATGTTGTTGTTGTCACCACAGTCCCCAGGCCCTGCTTGATCTTGAATACGCTTCCTCGTGTGCTGCTCAACGGCTTCGCTGCGCGGTTTGCGGGGCCGAGTCGCAATTGCTGCCGCATCTCGTCGAGCGACGCTTTCACGGGCACGGCGTTCTTCCCGGTGCGGCCGTCTGCAGAGTGTTGGCGCTTCATGAACACGGCCGTCTTGGGAGGGCGCTCAAAGTGACCCGAGTCGCTCTTCAGGGAGCCGACCTCGACTTCCTGACCGTCCGCGGGCTTGTGGTGGTTGCCATTGTGGTCTGGCGTCTTCCTAACCGCCACACCTGCACCCGGCGCGTCACTGTGCCTGCGATGGACTCGCGGAGCAGGGGTCAGGCGCCGGATGGCCTTGTGCACGTCGACGTAGACATCCGATTCGTCAACAATCTCCCTACGTTTAATTGTCTTGCGTTAGCCACCAAAGGATTGAGCCGCAACTGTTCGGTCAAAGACTACTCACTCTCCAATGAGCTCTTCAATAACGTCCTCTAGCGTAACAACGCCGAGAGCACCGTGATCCGAGCCAGGAAACTCAGAGACCAGTACCATGTGAGACTTGCCCTCTTGGAAAAAGTTGATAATGTCCAGGCAGCTTGTCTCGGGTCGCGTTTCAACAACAGCTCCCAGCTGCACATCTCGGACCGGGATGCGGTCTTCGGGGTCGTAGGTGATGAGCGTCTTGACAAGGAGCATGCCTATGAAATCAGTCGGATTGCCTGAGCGGTAGACGGGGATCCTCGAGTATCCGGACGAAAGAATGGTGTCCATGGTTTCCTCATCCAGGATGTGGTCCTCGGCCAGGGTAAACACATCGTCCATGGGAGTCATGACTTCCGACACAGGCTTGTCCTTCAGATCCAGGACGGCGGTGATGATGGTGACCTCATCCTGGTTCAGTCGCTCCGACACTTCACCGAGAGACTTGTGCAGCGTCACGAGCGTCTTGAGGCCACTCTTCTTGTATACCGTACCATGGTCCTCTCCAAGGATCCAGTCAAGGAGCTTCGCGGTCGGCCAGGCCACTGGGCCCAGGAGGTACATGAGAATTAACACGGGAGTGGACATGTACCCGCCAATGGGGAGGCCATATCGCACGCATACTGATTGAGGCACGATTTCGCCAAAGATGACTTGTACCCTAAGGTTAGTGCCGGAACACGAGGCAGCGGAAAAGAAAGCAAACAGTCGAGGAGCACTCACCGATAAGAATCGTACTACCCACGACGGCAGCAACACCGCCGCCTAGGAAGCGGTCCAGCACAACGGGAAGCGATTCGTTGACGATGACATTGGCGAGCAGCAGCGTCACGAGCACCCAATGCTTTCCTCGGTTGAGCAGCGTGAGGACTCGTTTCGCGTTCTTGTGCTGCGGCTCGCTGGTATCGCCCGATAGGACCTGGAGGTAGATGGAGTCTTGGCCCATCAGCCTGGAGCAGCGTCAGTCATTCGCCTCACGATGGCCCCCGATACGAGTGTATACGCACGCGATGGTCAGGCCGGCAAAGGCACCGCCCAGCAGGACCAGCGTCATTGACGACACGGCCAGCACCCACACGGGCGTGTTTGTGTCATGATGGCTGGGCGCTTGCGACACGGGCGCCGCAGAGACCGCCGTCAAGCAGAGGCCCAGCACTCGTCCCAGGCCGAGGATGGCCGGGCGGAAGCTGGCGAGCCCTCCGCTTGCGCCTCTGCTCGGCATAGCAGGACTTTGTATTTGAACTGTCGATGATGGAGAGACTGAAGCCGTCGTCTGTCCGCCAAAGCCGGGGATGGAACTGGCACGTCGGATCGTCGAGGAGATCAAGACCCGCAGTCGAATAGGCTGCTGACGGCCGCAGGCTGAGGGTCGTGGCGCCGGATTTCGCTAGCGACGCGAGTCGACGTCGTCGAAGGGGAGGAGCGGGTTGGGGATCAATGGGCGACAGGGAAAGTAGGTGAAGCAACAGAAAGAACAGAAAAAGAAGAAGAAGAAGAAGAAGCGCAGATTGGGCGGTAATGGCCAGTCGAAGCCTCGGGGGTTGAAGCCCTGCGCAAGCTCGAGATGCTGCAGCTGTCCGGGTCGCGGGTTGAGGCTTCTCAGGTTGAACTCGAACCTTGGAAGTCAATGACCAAAGCGCGAGAGGGAAAAGCACTCGTCACTGCTCTTCGGCTTGGAGCTTAGGCTCGGCAGGGAAGCTGGAGCTTCTAAAGGCCCTAAAGCACGGAATGGTCGAGCCCTGTGGGCCGCTGGAAGTTTAGCGGCCTCGCGGTGATTTAGCGCCTGGGGACGTGCGCTATGACGCCAGGCTTTCCTTGTTCAGTGACTTGATGGATTTAGTATGGATGCCCATGAACCAAAAGCGGCCCCGCAGTACGGCAACAGCAGGTCTGGATCAGACGGTCTAACAGACGAGATGCTCACGATGTCGGCTCTGCCTCTGCCAGATGGGCGACTGGATGGATTCGAGAAAAATATATGGGAATTTGCAATCGCCAATCGATCGCCATTGCTTGAATAGAGCTGCTTCAAGTACGATGCAACGCCGAGCTTGAGCCAAAACTACAACTTGAAAGCAACCAATCGATAAGAGAGTATTTAACCCATTTCCTGATCTGCCTCTCGAGACTTCCAAGGTTCTTCTTCTCTTCCATCTCCCTACAGCCGCACCAGCACCACGTCCAGCACGCCCTCAGACTTGCGCAGTCCCTCCATCACCTTGTCGTCTACCGGCCGGTCGATACCCAAGATCATCAGGGCCTCGTTCCCCTTGGCAGCATCTGCTTCGGCCTCCTTCAGCTCTGGGTCCAGACTGGCCACCTGCATGAACCGAATGTTGATGCCGTGGGAGCCCAGCACCATGCCGACGCCTCCAATCTTGCCCGGCTCGTCATAGTTGTGCAGGATGATCATGGTGCCCTCGGGGCTGAACGTGGCGCTGAAGCGGTCCAGCTTGGAGATGTACAGCCGCTTGCCCGAAGCGTAGCCTTCAATCGTCTGCTGGCCGCTGCCGTCCTCTGCGTGCGCCCTGAGCGTCACCAGGTTTGCATACGTCTGCTCGCCTGGCTGGTGCGAGTGTGTCTCGCTTATCTTGATGCCCTTCTCCTTGGCAATCAGCGTCGCGTTGACAATGTTGACGTGAGTCTCGCTGAAGGAGGCGACCAGGCCCTTTACCAGCGCTGCGTACAGCGGCTTCGTGTTTGGCATTCCAGCCAGGTCGCCGTGGTAGACCAGTTCAAAGGTGCGTCCGCCAACGAGGCCTCCCTTGGACCTGACGAAATGCTGCATGTAGAGACGGCCCATCTTCTCAATCAGTTGCACAAAGGGTTGGAGCTTGCGGTACTCTTCGGGCAGGATGATAGGGGCATTGACGGCACTGGTGGGAAGGCCTCCTCGCAAAATCTCGAGTACTTGCGTGCACACGTCGATTGATACGTTTTCCTGCGCCTCGACGGTGGAGGCTCCCAAGTGAGGCGTGGCCACCACTCTGGGGTGCTTGGCTATCTGGCCAGCTGCCGAGTCTGCTGCCGGGGGCTCTGAAGTGAAGACGTCGATGCCGGCTCCGGCAATCCATCCCTCGTCAAGGGCTTTGAGCAACGCGGCTTCGTTGTATACTCCTCCCCTGGCGACGTTGAGGACTCTGGCTGTCTTCTTCATCGACTTGAACTCTTCTTCGCCCACGAGGTCAAGGGTGGTTGCGAGCAGTGGCGTATGGATGGTGAGAAAGTCCACGGCTGGGAGGATGTCCTTTAGACTAGGTGCGAGGTCAACGCCCGCCTGGCGTGCCATGTCGGGATTGGCATATGGATCGACAGCCATGACTTGCATGCCGAGGCCTTTGGCCATCCGTGCCACGTTCATGCCAACCTTGCCCAGCCCAACGATGCCCAGGACCTTTCGTCCCACCTCGATACCGACAAGCTTGCTGCGTTCCCAGCCGCCCTGCTTCAAACTCCCATCTGCCCTGCCAATGTTCCTGGCAGTGGCCAGAAGCAAGGCTATGGTGTGCTCCGCTGCAGCGAGGATGTTGCCCGAGGGCGAGTTGACGACAATGATGCCTCGCGAGGTCGCCGCCGGCACGTTGATGTTGTCAACGCCCACGCCCGCCCTTGCCACCACTCGAAGCTTCTTGCCGGCAGCAAGAACCTCTTCTGTTACCTTGGTCTCGGATCGGACAATCAGGCCCTGGTACACCGGGATCTGAGAAATGAGCTCGTCGGGAGTCAAGCCCAGCTTGACGTCGACGTCAAAGTACGGCTCCAGCATTGCCAGGCCGTCTGGTGACACCTTTTCTGGAATGAGGATGCGCGGCCGGCCATCAGCAGCGTCTCTGCCGGCGCCGTTGCTTGTTGCCATAGGGGTCATGTTATCTAGGATTCAGGAAAGCAAGTTTATTCGGCAAGGGGGCGACGTCTTCAACCAAGGTATCAAGTGGCAGCACATGTATCAGAGAGAGAACCAGCTCTGTGAGTAAGTGTAAGCGATTGAAGCAACGAGATGAAAGGGGCTGCTGATTCCAGTTCAGCTCCAACAGCTCATTGCACCCGAAGAAAGAGGCAGTTGAGTGCATCTTATATGACGTTTGGCCACAGCACAACCCCTCAGTAAGCCTGTTCGACGGTTGGTGGCCATAAGTCGTGTCGTGGTTGAGACGCCGCCACGCGCACAGTCATTGCACCAACTAATAGATTGGACCATCTCCAACCTTTGCCTTGGGCCGTTGTGCGGGCTCGAACGTGGCTTGTGGCTGGGACACAGGTCACACCCTCGCATGAGTTGAGCCAGCCACTCAGGAACAGGAGATGCAAGGTCGAATGCAGGCGACGAAGCGACGAACAAACCAGCAACGGCTTCGTTATGTCATGCGATTTGGTACTTATCTTTGGCATCCCCCACGGAAGGGAAGCTCAAGATTGTGGAGGTGCTTTCGTGCATTGGCGGCTAATAATACTTGTTTCTCTCTCTCTGTCTCTCTGTCTCTCTTACTCTGAGAAGTGGCATTCACAGATCAGCCGTGAGATTGCGGAGAGCCCATGCGATCGATCTTGGGGAAGCGGGGAGGAGGGGAGGGGGAGGGGGGCCGACAGCCCACAACCACACCGTCCTGGGCTGACTTTGAATAATATCACGGTATTCCCCCTTGTGTTTCTGCCGTGTCATTGGAGCGGACCCCCCTCCCCTTGGACGGTGGGTGATGCGGCCCGTTTTGCCGGTTGTGTCGGCGATATTCTTCAATGTACTGTTGGTATTGAGCTGACTTTGTGCATACCAAATGGCCCATTGCCCGCATTGGCGAGCATCTGGTGGGAAGACGACACCTGAATGATTTCTACTGGAGCTAGAAGGGAAGGGGCTAGGTTCCTACATGTATACTCTCTTGACGGCATCTAAGGTACTACTATGATGTTTTGACATACCTTATGGGAAGACTAGACACAAATAATTCTAGTAGTAGCAGAAAAACCACCTAGAGACCTTGTCTTCTATTAATCTTAGTGGGGATAGCAGCAGTAATTAGAAAATGTATGAATTCGATGTGTAAAGATCCCTAGGTAGTAGGTAGATGAATGATAGATGGCCATTCTCTACCAATATTGGTAGCACTATATACCTACTAGGTATGTACATGGATAGAGCGTGCTAACCAATCTGGTGATTTTTCCTTTCCAGAGCCCGGCGAATTTTTTTCCCTTTGTCAGATGTCGCTCGCTCTCGGAGATGTGTAACCTGTTTCCACCCGACTGATGACGCATCTCGTACCACCATCGGGGTGTTTTGAACTTCTGCCTCGGGGCAAGGACAATGTCGGGGTATCGTAGACGGAGATGAAGGAAAACTTGCTTGTGTTTTTTGCTTGTTCGAAAACGCGTAAGCCCGTCGGATTTGGATGAAACCGACCCATTCGCCCTCTCCCGTAAATAAATGCATCTGCTTGTCCTTGCATAGGTACCTAGGGTAGTATATCATCAAGTATGCCTACCTTACATTGTTTCCTCGAGCACTGATTATCCAACTCAGAAGCAGAGCTGCAGCATCTACTCCTCGTCTTCCGGCTCCTCACTGCGATGCTGCTCCTCGCCCTCCTGGCCATCCTCGTCATCGCTCTCGTCGTCATCGAGATTCGGATCAGGCATGACAATGCTGTTAAGAAAAGTTACCTGTTGCGTCGCAGTCAGCATCGAATGCGAAGGGCACTCCGGAACGATGACTCAATTTGATAAGAAAAGATCAGGGGGGGATGGGGAGAAACCAAGGCAGACATACGAATCCGGATAGGCCGCTGAAGACGTCCTTGAGTTTGGCCTGTGCGTTGTCGCTGCAGAGGACTTGGTCGTCGAGATGGGTCAAGACGGTGAAGTTGCGGAGTTTGAGGAGCGCAATGTCGCGGTGTGTGACTTCGTAGCCCTGGCATTCGTTTGGACAAAATCAGCCCAACCGTTTTCAACAAGAAAGTGAAACAAAGAAGAAGAACGCAAATATCGAGAACTCAGAAGCGGGATAAAAGGACCTTTGGGGGAAAAGGGAGCGAGACTCAAAAGCACATACCATCGGCTTCTTCTTCAGCGCATTCTCCTGATTCTTCCCCACAAAGGCCTTGACCACGTCCTCCACCCCTTTCTTCTCCAGCGCAGGAAAAAACGTCTTCCTGAAGAGCGGGTCGGCCATTGCTCTTCGCCATCGCCGAGGCCGTTCGTCGATGCTCTGCCGGAGCTTGGCGAGGTGTGCGGCTTCGGGGTGCCAGAGGCCGCCGCCGATGAAGCTCTTCTTCGGCTCGCAGTGGATGTAGTACACTGCGTAAGGGCCCTTGCGGCCTGTGCGGGACCAGGCGGCGGAGAAGTGAGGCTGCGCGAAGAGTGTTAAGCCGTTAGTTGGGATCGAGGAGTGGCTTTCTTGTGAGGGAGAGGATGAGGCGAGGGGTGATGGAGAGAGAGTACATACCTTGTATGGTGTTGGGTCTTTGCTGAAGCGAATGTCGCGGTGGATGCGAAAGATGACGTCCTTGGCGGGTAGCTCTGGGATGGTATCGTCGACTTCGATGAGGGTTTGGGTAGTTGCTTCGACAAAGGACTGCCAGTCTTTGAGGGCTCTTCTGTATTCTCCGTCGTGGGCTGGCGATCATGACCGGGATTAGTTTCAAAGAGTGCCGACAAGGGCGGGATGTGCTTCGAAAACATTTCAACGTACATTTAAGCCATGGCCTCTTGTTGTTCGCCTTCAAGTCTTTCAGAAACAGCATCGTATTTTTATGCAGTTTATGATCCTCATACGAGACGCCTCCTGTATCTCGTAGCTTTTCCAATGGTATAATTTCGACTTTTCTAGGACCATCTTCATCTTCGTCTTCATCCTCATCGTCCTCGTCCTCGTCCTTGTCATCATCGTCAGGAGCATCATTGTATTGGTCGTCCTCCTCCTCAGATTCCTCCCTGGCCTTTTTCGGAGGTCGTCCACGGGATCTCTTCTTCGGCTGTGTCGGTGCTGCTTCTTCCTCGGACTCGTCCTTGTACTTTTCTTGATCGGATTCGCCGTCGGCGTATCTGGCTCTTTTTGCACCTCCCTTGCGCCTAGATACTTTTGAAGTCTGCTTCTCTTCGGTTTCGTCGCTGGAGCCTTCAAAGTAGCTGCTCTTCACTTGCGTGTTTGATAAGCGGCCGGAGCGCCGTCGCGTACCGGCTGCTTCTTCTTTGGAAGCAGATTGCTTGGAAACGGGCATGATGAGATATCTTAACGGTGGAAATCCTCTTTTCAAACTCAGTTGCCAGCATGAACAAAATGTAAGAAAAAACAGATTCTATGCCTGGGATATCCAACGCCCTTTGGCAAGTGCTGGGTCTATGGCGTCATGCACTGTCGCGAGAAGCGCGTCTTTGATGGGAACGAGTGCCGCGCTATCACGTGATGCTTCTATAAGCTAAAGACGACGAGTGTAAGGTACCTGGTAAGATACTAATTGAGAACATACAACGACGCTTCACTCTTACATGGCGGAAGCATTTCCCAACGTATCCTCATAATCAACATTCGCTATGATATATCATTGTGAAATAGCCTCGAATGTTTGCTCCAAAGGCGAAAGCATTAACTGAAGGGGCCACCACCGACCAGCTAGATCAGACTCACTGACCTGAGCCATCATGCTCACTCTTCTTCTCCCACGGCATCTCAACAACCACCCCCACTCCTATTGAAGCCCTAAACGTGCCCCTGATCGAAGCAAACATCTTCTTGAAAAACTCCAGATCCTTCATCTTCGCCCGCACCCACCTCTCTCCCAGCTCATCCGCACTGTCCTCCCCGTCCACCGTCAACGCCTGCGCAGCCGTAGCACAGATTCTCACCACGGCCTCCAGCCTCTTAAAGTCCTCCTTGGGAAGGGCATCCAGCTCCTCGGGCATGTAGACAATCTCAGTGACCTTGTACAGGCGCTCCGCAAAGGACATGTTGGAGACGCTCTCCGTCTCGCTGAACCTGAGCAGCTTCTTCCTGTACGTCGCCCAGCTCAGGGGCGGAATGGCGCAGAAGTCTGCCTTGACCACCTCGAGCGCTGCTTCGAGACGCGTGCGGCGAGACGCTGCTATGACGGGAGTGAAGGATACTTTGGGCGGCTGGTGGTCTTGCAGGTGCTTGAGGCGGAGGACGAGGGCCGTGATGTCGACTTGCTTGGCGAGGAAACCTTCTGGATCTGCGTTCTTGACCATGGCTTGTAGGGCGGCGACGAGGTGCTCCGGCATTTCGTCGCCTTCATGTTGGGACTCGGGGGCCATCGGGGCGACGGGGGCTCGCTTGCGCTTGGTTCGCGCTGGAGGGGGAGGGGGGAGAGGAAGGTCGATTTCCATGGCGTCGGCGTCTTTAACGAAGAGCGACTCTTCGGATTCGCAGATGGAGTTTTGAAGCTCACAGGCCGAGTCCAGAGGCTCGCCTGTCGAGTTCTGGGGCGCGCCGATAGGTTCTTCCGCAAAGGCAACACCGTCGCTCTGGCTGACCTGCAGGAGCAACTCAAGTCAGTACCTAAACCTTTGAAGGAGTATGGTCGCATAAGGTACCAAGGTATCTTATAAACAGGAGAAGCAGAAAGTAAAACGTACCGCTTGAGGGGCTGACATCTCCGCTGCAGCCGAAGGCACATCTCGTGGCGCGACTTGGAATTCGGCCCTGTTTCCGAGATTCGGGCTTCCTTCCTCTATCGCTTCGCGAAGCGTTTCCTCCTTTGTCAGAGTCAACTCTGAAGCCAGCAGCATCTCAGGCATCTCGAGCAATTCAAAATCCACAGTTAGTAATCTCAGCAACACTTTGATCTTTTCGGGGTCAAATGTAGGAAAGGCTGAATAATGGCGAACTCGCAGGATCGTTTCAATCTTGAAAACGACCTTCAACTGCAAAGGCTCAAGTGAAGTGCCTTCAGAGAGCATCACCCTGCTCACGTGCTCACCTCTTCTCTCCTCTCCTCCACCTACTTATGGATGCAGAGAGTTGCCCTTACTCTGCCAACTGTCAGACGGACCAAAAAATCCCCCAGCATGGACTCATGCTTTGTTGGATTGGCCGCAACGAAAATTCAATGGGCCTGGTCTGCCAGCTGCGAGCAACACTACTTGCCGGCTGCGAGACACACCTGGCCTGCTTTAACTTTGTGGGTTGTCACAGGCATCCGTGTAACTCGCAGATATCATGACAACCGGAGTATGAGTATTTGACAAATGAGTTTTGGAACAAAACAAGGCGAGAGTAAAAGTCATTGTATCAGAGTTGCTGGTGAAAGACGAGCCGTTATCGTAGCAATCCAGGTAGCACGAGACTTGATGGTTTGCACAAGGCTTCGAACATCTCCCCTTGAAAAGGAGACGGGTAGATTGACAATCCACTGCTTTTCGACATGGAAGAAACAAGTCGCCGGTTCGATAGCGTCAAGTACTGGGGCAGATATAACACACTTTTACCACATGTAGCCCTGGTGGTCTTATAGCTTGCCTCACGATACACCACCCAGACTCATACGGGCCTACAAATCGAGTCGTATACAAGTCGTGGGAGGAACATGAGGGAACAACAAACAAGTTCAAACACAGGAGACATCAGATAATAGGTCTTTCTTTGGGTCAAGATTCATTTATGCATCTACTACACTCAGAGCTGCATTCGAACTTTACAAGACTGAAAACACATCCGCGTCATAACCGACGATAACACCTGGGAACTTCTTTGGTTCCTCTAATAAGTATCTATGCATCAATAATTTCCCTTTTTTTAATTTTTTACAATTCGTCGTGGAAGTCGCCATCGTCCTCGGAGCCACCAGCACCCTGGTACATCTTGGAGGTGATGGGGTAGGCGACGTTGGACAGCTTCTCCTTCTGCTCCTCAAAGTCCTCGGTAGTGGCGTCGGCGCCGTTCTCCTCGAGCCACTCGGTAGCCTCCTTGACGGCGTCAAGAATCTGGTCAAGTGTTAGTGTGACATGTCCGCATCAGAAAGCAGTGATGGATCGCTTCAACTTACAGTCTCCTTGTCCTCCTCGTCAATCTTGCCGCCGAGGCCCTCCTCGTCATTGACCTGGTTCTTCAGGCTGAAGGCGTAGTTCTCAAGACCGTTACGGGCCTCGATGCGCTCACGGGTAGCCTTGTCCTCCTCGGCGAACTTCTCGGCCTCGGCAACCATGCGGTCAATCTCCTCCTGGGTGAGACGGCCCTTGTCGTTGGTGATGGTGATGGACTCCTGCTTGCCGGTGCCCTTGTCGTGAGCGGAGACCTTGAGGATACCGTTGGCATCCAACTCGAAGGAAACCTCAATCTGGGGGACACCGCGGGGGGCAGGAGGAATGCCGGTAAGCTCGAACTTGCCCAGGAGGTTGTTGTCCTTGGTCATGGAACGCTCACCCTCGAAGACCTGGATCAGGACGACGGGCTGGTTATCGGCAGCAGTCGAGAAGATCTGGCTCTTGCGAGTGGGGATGGGGGTGTTGCGGGGAATGAGCTTGGTCATGACTCCGCCAGTGGTCTCGATACCGAGAGTCAGGGGGTTGACGTCCATGAGAACAATGTCATCGGTACCTTCCTCACCAGAAAGGACACCGGCCTGGACGGCGGCACCGAAAGCAACAGCCTCGTCGGGGTTGATACCCTTGGAAGCCTTCTTGCCGTTAAAGTACTCCTCGATAAGAGACTGAACCTTGGGGATACGGGTGGAACCGCCGACCAGAACGATGTCGTCAACCTCGCTCTTCTTGACGTTGGCGTCCTTGAGAACCTGCTCGACAGGCTTCAGGGTCTTCTTGAAGAGGTCCATGTTGAGCTCCTCGAACTTGGCCCGGGTGAGAGTCTCGGAGAAGTCGTTGCCCTCGAAGAAGGCCTCGATTTCGATACGAGTGCTCATCTGGGAAGAGAGGGTACGCTTGGCCTTTTCGGCTTCACGCTTGAGCTTGCCCATGGCCTTGAGGTCCTTGGAGATGTCGACGTTGTTCTTCTTGTTGTAGGCCTTGGCCAGGTAGTTGATAATGCGCTGGTCAAAGTCCTCACCACCAAGGTGGGTGTCACCGGCGGTAGCCAAGACCTCGAAGACGCCATTGTCAATGGACAGGAGAGAAACATCAAAGGTACCACCACCGAGATCGTAGACAATGATCTGGCGCTCACCGTCGGTCTTGTCCAGACCATAGGCGATAGCGGCAGCGGTGGGTTCGTTGACGATTCGGAGAACGTTCAAGCCGGCAATGGTACCGGCGTCCTTGGTGGCCTGTCGCTGGTTGTCCTATCGGGCTGTTAGCAGATGGCTCTTGGAATCCTCGAGGAATTTCGGGGAAAAGACTCACGTTGAAGTAGGCAGGGACGGTGACGACGGCGTGGGTAACCTTCTTGCCCAGGTACGACTCGGCAACCTCCTTCATCTTGCCAAGAATCATGGCAGAAATCTCCTCGGGAGTGAACTGCTTCTTCTGGCCGTTGACCTGGACCTGGACGACGGGCTTGCCGTTCTTCTCAATGACCTTGTAGGGGAAGTGCTTGATGTCGGCCTGGATCTCCTTCTCGTCGAATTTGCGGCCAATCAATCGCCTGTGACAACAGTTAGCTAATTGTCCACTTATACAATAGAAGCCAACAGGGCGGTAGAACTGACTTGACATCGTAGACGGTGTTGGTGGGGTTGGCGGCGGCCTGGTTCTTGGCGGAATCGCCAACCAGACGCTCCTCGTCGGTAAAGGCCACGTAGGAGGGAGTGATTCGGTTACCCTGGTCGTTGACGAGAATCTCAACCTTGCCCTTCTGCATCACACCGACGCAGCTGTAGGTAGTTCCGAGATCCTGGGCGGAGGAGAAGCGTGTTAGCAGGGCTGCCTGAGCATCAACACCAAGAAAATGGCGGGGTTGCTGCCGTCAGTCGACTTACAATTCCGATAACAGTGCCGTAGTTGTCCGCGTCGTCGCTCGCGGCATTGGCCTTTCCGACAAACGCCAGAGGAGCGAAGAGCAGCGTGATCCAGCAGAGCAGGCCCAGCCCGAGGGCCAGGGAGCTCCGTGAACGAGCCATTGTGGAAGAAGAGATGTGTGAAGAAACGGTTTTCCCAGATGCCCCGCGCAAAAAGAGTTATAAGCGTTGCAGAGAAGAAAAGAGAGAGAGAACAAGAGAAGACGCGCAGCGATCCAACGCAGCGAGCTCTATCGTGTTTTGTCCTCGGACCAGGCTGGTTGCACCGGGTTGAGGGGGGGTATCTTTGTTTGAAGAAGAAGAAGAAAAGGAAAAAGGGAAAAACTCGAGTTGAAGCCGAGAGGTGACGATGGGCCACTTTATGAAGCGCCCCAGAAAAAGTTGAGGTGTCCAGAAGGCTCAAAAAGGCCAGATTTCAGGTCTGTTGGAGGCAACGGGTCGCTAAACGCTAGAAGAGGGACAGGCAGTGGAAGGCCCCGGAACACGCAGCCCCACGTGACAGGGGTCTTGCGGCGGGCGATCTCGCACGGTTAGCACTGTCTCAAATCACTGGAAATTTGCGCAAAATACAGTGCGATCAACTACCGAGCAAGCACAGCCGTCAAAGGTGCAGCCATGGAGTCGCCCGCTAGGAACAGAGACACCTACCTAACTCGTTCACCCGGAGCCGCTTACAACAGCCACGATTCGTCCCCGTTTTGCCCCTCCAGGCCCAGGGAGCACAAGAAGCGTGGAGAAGCGAGAAGTGGCCTCTTCTTCTGCGCCGCACTAAAATTTGCCCGTTTGCCGCTGGGCGGGTGACGGAACGTGGTGGAAGTTACGATGCTATTCCAGCCCGGAACGTGACCCGGAGCTACCTCTTCATCAGGAGCAGATTCGCCTTGAGTCTTTGCTGTTGACGGAGTCCCTGTCAAGTACACGTAAGTACTCGTACCATATGAAGCTGTATCCGTATCGATGACTTGTGGCAAACGGAAAAGGAAGCTGGTCTCTCCCACGACCGTTATGGACACGTTGGCGTTTTCTAATATTTGCCCGAGCGGATTATGCTTACAATTGTAGTTGATGTCCTTAGCCGTCATTGTCTCACAGGTACTTCCAGGCTGTCAATAGGCACCTTAACCGGTATCCGGGTGGATATCGGTTGGTTCAAGCGGCAAAGTGCCACGTATCGGCGCTTTGCCACGGCAAGGCTGAAGCGCTCAAGATGCCACTCAATTTCTTGCCTTACTGTCTCTGCCAGCACGGCCGGTCTTGAGAGAAACAAGTAGAATCAGTGCATCTATCTTTGTTGTGGTAAAAGCACACGTAGCCATTGAGGCGTCGCATTGCCATGATGTGTCCCGACCAGCCGGCCAAGCTACAAGTATTACATACGAAGCGGAGTCATGATTCATTCTCTAGTGCTGTATGTACGTGTATAGATAAATCACTTGCCTCATTCGGCAATACGAACTCAGACCCATGGCAGCCTCACAAGCATAGCGATATTGGACCTCGTGGATCAGCATTCGAACTAATACTGAAGCATTCTAGCCATTCTAACCTCTTCTTTTAAACGGGCCGTCCAATATCCAGACATCCAGTGTATACCAGTAGTCTCCCACAGACGCAGCATTTCTACACTTATTCTAACAAGCCAGCGGCAATGGTTTCTCCTCCAGTTCGGATCACAACCCGCTGTCCGGCCTCCAAAGGCACCTTGGTGTCCAATTTGATCAAAACGCGAGCAACTGACCCTGGCTGCACCACCTTGGGCTTCTTCTTGATCACCTCTCCCGTGGCCTTGTCGAGCAAAGCCGCTATTGACTGGATCTGACCTGCTGCGTGAAGCCTGCCGCGGTGGAGATCCACCGGCATGGGCATCAGGTGGGCGAATGCCATGGCCTTCATGGTAAATGTGTCGCCAACGTTGATGGGATCCTTTGTGTGGCAGACAATGTCGCCAACCTTGACGTGAACGGGGTCGATGCCCGCCAAGCCAATGCTCACGTTCTGACCAGCTACAGCCCAATCCCTGGTCTCCGTATCAAGCATGATGGACCTGACGTGCGCCGACTCCCCGCTAGGCTGTACCAACAGAGCATCGCCCACCTGAATCGTGCCAGAGTCGATGCGGCCGGCAAGTGTCGTAGTTCCTTGCTGCGAGCGGAAGATTTCTGAAATCGCCATCCGGAAAGGCTTCTGCAGAGATCGCACGGTAGATGGTACAGATGCCTCTAGGCCCTCTATCAAAGTAGGCCCTGTGTACCAACTGCAAGCCTCGTCCTCTGACCTCTTGACGATATTATCTCCATTCAGTCCCGAGATGGGGATAAACTTGATGGACTTTTCTTGAAATCCGAGGCCGGTCAAGAAGCCAGAGATTTCCTCTGATATTTCTTGGAACCTCTCCTGTGACCACCCGACTGCCTCGAGCTTGTTCACGGCAACGACTATTCGCTGCACGCCCAAGCTTCGCAGGAGCAAGACATGCTCCTTGGTCTGCCCCTTCAGCCCCTTTTCGTAGGCTCCAGTGCTGGCGTCAATCACCAAGACGGCAAAATCAGCCTGACTGGCACCAGCGATCATATTGGGCACAAAGTCCCGATGACCTGGGGCATCCAGAATGGTAAAGTTCGTCGAGTCGGTTTCAAAATGGTTCGTGGCGATGTCAATTGTGACACCCCGGTCTCTCTCCTCGCTTCTCTGATCAAAGACCCATGCCAGTGCAAACGACGTCTTCCCCATCTTCTCGGCTTGCCGGCGGTATTTGTCCACTGTGCGCTCTTGCACAAGTTTGAGCTCCAAAAGAAGCCGGCCCATGAGTGTACTCTTGCCAGCATCAACGTGGCCTTTGTAACTTGGTCAGTGACATCGAATACTCAAATACGAGGGGAGTGCGCAATCATACCAACGACGACGAAACTTGCGTGCTTCTTGCTAGCGCTCTGCTCAAACTCCTTGATGACATCGATGCCTTTGCTCTTAGGCGGTGGGCTGTCGGTGACCTTGAGGTTTGCAACACCACCCGCGAGTGCGCCGTCTTTTGATGTTTCCTCGTTCTTCTGTGACTTCTTGGGAGTCTTTGGCGTGGCTGGAGTCTTCTTACCCGCTGGATAGAGAATTAGAATTAGCCCATCACTTCGCCTTCGCAAAATTCGAACCTTTTGCCCGGGCTGCGAGCACAATGTCGTCTGGGCTGGGCTCTGAGAAGACCGACGCAACGAATAGAGATGATTGGGTGTAGGGCATTGCAAAGACATCCCTCCTGTGCCGCTGGTCTGCCTCTGAATCTGATTCGAAAAGCGCCTGGGCGAATGCAGATGGAGCATGACTCCGACTCATGACCGGCTTTGGCGCTTGAGGTATGATGTGGTCGGTTTTGGACTCAGTGGCAGTTGGCAAGGTCACACGTTCCCCTAGAGAATTGTCGGTGGAGGCTGTTGGTATGTTTTGCCCCTGTTTCTGTGGCTGTTCCTGTGGAGGAGAAGAATCTGTGCTCGAGTTGCGACGCTGAATCTTCGACTTGGTGCCCGTGTTTTCTTGATTCGCATCAGAAAGCGCAAGTTTTGTCACTTCGCCCTCTAAGGAATCGGGGTTTTCTTGCGCCTTCTTCTCTTCAATCTTTCTCTTCCGCATGGCAGCTAGGGCTTGCAACTTCGATACCTTGGGAGCGGAGCCAGTGCCTCCCAAGAGCCCGCCGCAAAGCCGTGGCGGCTCAATGAATGTGGTTTCTCGATCCCGCGGTATGTTCAGCCAGGGCATGTCGTCGAAGAAGTTTGGGGGGATCCGAGGCTTCTCTAGGATGGGGAACGCGCGTGCAAGCGGAGGGATGTCGTAGGTGGTGGGGGTATATTCGTCGTCTTCTCCAAGGGATCGAACAAAAGAAGCTCCGCTAGCAAAGAAAGAGAGCGCGCCATTCTTACCTTCTGGTGCCTTTTTCGGCGCCGGCTTCTGCGCTGCTTTTGGTGCTGGCTTTGGAGGTGGCGCAATGAATGTCCTCGTCAAGTAGGCAACGGACTTGTCGATGTCGTAGTAGTAATGCCAGAGCGCCTCTTGTATTTGCGCAACTGTGACCTTGCTCGCTTCTTCTCCAAGGGCCTTGCGCACTTCTTCCGTTCCTTTCTGCATTGCGATCTTGTCTTCGGGGCTCAGCTCGTCCTCTTCCTCTCCGAGGTCTTCGTCGTACTGGTCGACAAAGTCGTCGTCGTCATAGTCCTGGGGCGCCATTGCGACTGCGGGAATGAGAGGTTATTCGAGCGCTGTTCAAGTCTGGATATTGAAAGTGGGTGAATGACCGCTGTGGATGTAAAGGGAGCGGTTGGAAAGGGCGTTCGACAATCTTGAGACACTAGTTGTTGATTCCGATGTGACGAAATGCTCGGCGTTGAGTCATTGACTTAGGCAGACGCTCTTTAGCCTTGTAATGCGACCTGCCAACAAGCACACGCTCAAGAGGCGATCGAGGTGAGGGAGAAGGCAAAGAAGAAGGGCAAGAGTCGACAGCTTTTATAGACTGAGCAGAGCGAGCTTGTGAAAGAGCAAGAGGACTTGGAACTTTGTGGGAGAAAGACAAGTTTGAGGCTTCACGAGTATGCTTTGAAGCTAGAATCATCAAGGTAAGGTAGAGCTTCAGTTTCATCATCGGAGGGGCAACATGCTGCATCCGGCCTTACATAAGCCATCCAGCTCCGGCCATGGAGGGGCATCTTCAGCAGAAGCTTGATACTATGGCGGGGTGGCCGGCGGGCGGACTTTTCTTAGTCCGTGTCCCGCACCCTTTGTGGTGGCAGTTGTAGGCATCCTCTCCCCCCAAATGGTCAAAAAATTTGGGCACGATCGTGGGAAGCTTGAAGCTATCACTGTCGCCAGATTACGGGGATTCGTTCTTTTGGTGCCGAGAATCATCGATCTCTTCTTGTTTGTATAAATTCCACCACAGGTTCTCCCCAGTCAAGATGTCGCTGAGTACGTGAGAATCAATCCAACGATGTTCAGGGGGGAAAGCATTCAAGCTAACACGCACGCCACATAGATCTAGATGTTTCCAACGGTAAGGCGATGATGGGCTGACGATGAGCACGAGTAGCCTGCTAATGTTCGACGTGCAGCGGCGGTGGTGAAGGATGAGCAAGGCCGACCCTTCATTGTCGTCAGAGAGTAAGCTCTGAAGCGCTGTGTGTGTGCAGCTGGATGTCGTCTAACAGCGGTCTAGTCAGGGGAAGAAGAAGCGCCAGTTTGGCAACGAAGCCGTCAAGTCACACATCCTCGCCGCCCGAACAGTCGCCAACATCGTCAAGACGTCACTCGGCCCTCGCGGTCTCGACAAGATCCTCATCTCCCCCGACGGCGATATCACGGTCACGAACGATGGCGCCACGATTCTACAGCAGATGGAAGTGAGCAACCACGTTGCTAAGCTGCTGGTGGAGCTTTCCAAGTCACAGGACGAGGAGATTGGTGACGGCACGACCGGCGTCGTTGTCCTGGCCGGTGCCCTCCTGGAGCAGGCCGCCGACCTCATCGACAAGGGCATCCACCCTATCCGCATCGCCGACGGCTACGACCAGGCCTGCGACATTGCTGTGGCCGAGCTGGACAAGATCTCAGATACCATCGAATTCACAAAGGAGGAGACCTCCAACCTGCTCAAGGTTGCACGGACGAGTCTGGGAAGCAAGATTGTCTCCAAGGCTCACGATCAGTTCGCCAACATTGCCGTGGACGCCGTCCTGTCGGTGGCCGACCTGGAGCGGAAAGATGTCGATTTCGAGCTGATCAAGGTTGACGGCAAGGTCGGCGGCTCTCTCGAGGATACCATCCTTGTCAAGGGTGTCATCATCGACAAGGACTTCTCCCACCCCCAGATGCCCTCAGAGGTCAAGGATGCCAAGATTGCCATCCTGACATGCGCGTTCGAGCCCCCCAAGCCCAAGACCAAGCACCACCTCGACATTACAAGTGTGGAAGAATTCAAGAAGCTGCAAAACTACGAGAAGGAGAAGTTTGTCGAGATGATCCAGCAGATCAAAGACACTGGCGCAAACTTGGCCATCTGCCAGTGGGGCTTCGATGACGAGGCAAACCACCTCCTGCTCCAGAACCAGCTGCCCGCTGTGCGATGGGTCGGTGGTCCAGAGATTGAGCTGATTGCCATTGCAACCAACGGCAGGATAGTACCTCGATTCGAGGATCTGAAGCCTGAGAAGCTGGGTTCTGCCGGCATTGTCAGAGAAATGACCTTTGGAACAACAAGGGAGAAGATGTTGGTTATTGAGGAGTGTGCCAACACTCGTGCTGTAACGGTGTTTGTGCGAGGAAGCAACAAGATGGTATGAGGATGTTCCATTGTCTTTTCGTTCCCCCCTTTCCCTCACTAACGTGGAATATCCAGATCATCGACGAGGCCAAGCGCTCTCTGCATGATGCTCTCTGCGTCGTAAGAAACCTCGTGAGGGACAACCGAGTCGTATACGGAGGTGGTGCCGCCGAGATCGCCTGTTCGCTGGCAGTAGAGGATGCCGCTGGCAAGACTCCCGGCTTGGAGCAGTACGCCATGCGTGCCTTTGCCGAGGCCCTCGATGCCGTCCCCATGGCCCTGGCTGAGAACAGCGGTCTCAACTCCATCGCAACCTTGGCGGAAGTGAAGAGTCAGCAGGTCAAGGCGGGCCCGGACAACAGGGGCAAGCTCGGCGTCGACTGCATGGGACGGGGCGACAACGACATGAAGGCGGCGTTTGTCATTGATCCGTTGATCAGCAAGAAGCAGCAGCTGCAGCTGGCGACGCAGCTGTGCCGCATGGTTCTCAAGGTTAACAATGTCATTGTGTCCGGCTCTGATGAAAACGACTTTTAAGGGGTGTATGTCTGAACATAGATGGGAGTGGCATATCAAAAGCCTGGCTGGTGAAATAGAGACCATTTGCTCGTCACTGCGAGTGATAATATAAGCAATCTACAAATCTCATGAGACACTTGCGCAATCTGTCAGCTTGATGGATTGTAAGAGGGTGATGCTCGATTTGGTGCTACTTTATGATGCGGTGAAGTCGCGGCACACTTTGCTCGCAGATGCTGTATGAAGGGCGATGCTTGACGAGAGCGACATCTTACATTTCAGATGGTTCGATAGTGCCCAAGCTCGTGTTTCTCCTCTTACCTATAATAAGTGACAAGTGACCGATGTCTTGTGAGGTGCTCATTGATTTTGCCTTGAGACCATTCAAGTAGCGAGAGGTAGTACATGTTTAAAGAGCTGCTATTGCTATGAGAGGACATTCGTGAGCTACCTTACCTACCTCAGTTATGGAGATGGATCATTGCGTCAACCTTTTTACATAACATGCAGACACACTCATCCAAGGTTAATGTGCATATGATGAACATGAGGTTTCTAGCGTCAGTCCGTTGCAAGGGAGCAGAAGCCGAAAGAGACACCGTTTAGCCCACCGTTTTGAACAAGGACGCCGAGCACGTCTGGCCAATATCCCTGTAGCCAAATATCTCATTTTCTGTTTTACCCCCATTCAATTACAATTTTATTAAGAATTTTTTGGAAAGGCGAATATCACAGTTCATCACACAGTCCCCCCAAAAAAATAAAAAAGCCCAACATGTCTCTCCTCGTCACGGGGAAGCAGCAGCGCATCAACCGGGCTTGACGCCTCAAACAGCAAACATGAACACGTCGGTCAAGCCACAGCCTTTGCGGTCACCTTTCTTTTGTTTCCTCACCTATAATTAGTTAGAAACTTACGGTCTGAAGAAGGTCTGCTGTTCTTATTGGTCCTTGCTCGCACAAAAATGCTGCGCGTTAATAAGTGCTGCTTCTTGTTGCAGGCCTTGTTTTCTGCTTCACAGTGATAGGTAGATGCTGGGGGATCCTCAGCTGCGGCTGATGCAGCCGGTGAGGGAAAGATCCCTGAACAAAAGAGGCACGACGCAGGATTTGTGCGACGAGAGGCTTTTAAAAAAAAAGATTCTACTTTTTTTTTTCCTTTTTTTTTCCCTCTTGCTACTGAGAACAGAGTCGGTGAGGTCGAATGGAGTGGTCATGGACAACTACAACGTACATACATATCTGTGTGTATTACAGCATGCGGGCCGATGACAAGGTGTCAAAGCGTGGTCTTACAAGATAAAGCACACGGCTCAGAGTAACATGGAAAAAGCTTGATTTCCAAAGCAAGGTGGAAGCTGCCAAGCGCTGAAACGGTAAAATTGCAGTGACACGGAATCGAGATGGGAGGGCATAGAGGCGTTGCTTTTGTACTTGGTGCAACCACATGGTGCGTGACGTGGATGGTTCTAATGAAACGTGAAAAGACGCTGCTGCTGCTGCTGTGTGATGTGATAGGGGGAGGGCACATCGGTGTGACGGGGCGGTGATCCGTGAGGTCAGTGGCTCGAGGGGATTTGCATTGGCGTGGGATGACGGGAAAGAGATGGTCATGTTTTATACATACTTGATGCTTGACTGGGATTCATACTTGAGTGCGTACTGTGCAGAGGCGTCGTATTATCGAACTTCGGGTTCGGCCAGTCGGAGGGCGAGGGCGTGTTTTCCCGGGGCTCGTGTGAAGGAGAAAACAAGAGGAGTGGCAGAAGTACTAGTAGGTATGTATGTTGAACGTTGAACGCTGCCTTGTTTTTTTGCTGTTCGTGCAGCTTGTTTCTGTACCCCTTGCATGGTTTTTCTCTCTCTGCATTTGCTTACGGTTTCACATGGGGTGTAAAAAAGAGAGAAAGAAGGCTGGGGTGGGCTGCGGGTGGCGATGACGGAAGATTGATGTGGTGAAGTTGAACATGAACCGGGTTGGTGGACATCCGGGCAGAGAAGTGGTGACAACATTATCATGGGGGGAAGAAGGGAAGGGGGAAAGGGCTGATGCTTGGCTTTGCTGCCACACGGGATGAATGGATGCTGCAGATGCATTTAATTTGCATTGATGCCAAGGCTGTATCCGGGCATTCATAGGGGTGTTTTAGGGAGTGGTGGTGGTGGTAGTATGTACGTGGTGTCCGAGATGTGTGTGAAGGCATCGTGTACTGTGGGAGGGCTTATCGATGCACGGCTTGCGCAGGAGCTCCTTGATAATGAGGGTATTTGATCTACTCACGGCCAACTCTGTGTAGAGTGCAGTGCTGATTCATGGCGAGCATTGACATGTTTACTGTAAGTGAACGGCGGCCCGGGTGGCTTCGTGCCAGCTTCCAGCCTCGTACAGGTCGCTAGACTGCCAGCTAGACTGCCAGATCGAGAATATCCTCGCACAGAATACACAACGTAGTACTAGGCACGGCAACTTCTCACTAGTACCCTTTGCGAGATGTGTGAGAGTAATACTTGTACTGGACTTCTTCGCTTGTGTAGCTGAGGCGGCCGATCTCTGTGTGTGTTGTCTGTACATTCGTCCGAGTGTGTGTCCAGTGTCCGAACTGTATGAGCGAAGGAGTAAGCGAGCCTGTCTGTCTGTCTGTCTGTCTGTAGGGAGATATGTATGCAACTGCGTCTTGCTTGACCAAGGACCGAAGAGATGGCATGCATGTACCACTCCATATGGATACTCGCACATGTGTGCTAATGTACATGTAAGTTGGGCTACCCAGCAGCATGCGGCCCTTCAGGTGGCCAGGAACACATGCTCCGTCTTGCATAGATTGAGAACATCGGACAAGCAGCCCGTCAGATGCCTGTCTTTTCGTGTGATCCAAGCCACGCAACCGGTTTTGACACCCAAATGCGCGACCGGACTTTTGATCCTCGTTGGCTGGATGGCGCGAGGAGGGGGGGAGGGAAGGAAGAAGAGCTCTCTGCCTGACTGTGACGTTTCTGGTGTATTGTTCACGCAATCGAGTCTCATGGCCGATGGCATTTCGGGCCAACAGAAAAGGATGAAAGGGGAATTATGGGAGATGGAACATGATGGGATCGGAGACCCGCGATATAGGGAGGGAGGGGGGGGCTTTTCGGGGATTCCTATGGAGAGAGTTGGACGGGCCTGGGAGTGTGTTGTGGAAAGTCAATGACTGACTGACATGGCTGTGCACCACCTCTTCGATCTCTTGGATAGAGCAGCCACTTTTGGCTGGGGATGCAGCGGAAGAGGAAGCCGGGGAATTTGAGGCTTGCAGGATCAGAGCGGGAAGAGGTCGAGTGGTGTGCCAAGTAAGGGGATACAAAGAGACAAGAGAGAGAGAGATGCGTGTAAGTGGTGCGGTAGGTAGCAGCAGCGACTCGGGCTACCTTGTCGTCGTCTGAAGCCGCACAGGTCCTACTCGGGGCATCTCAAGACGGCCCAGTGATACAGCTTCGCACTGCTAACCTCGATGAGAAACAATCAATAACCGGGGGGAAGAGCATCCTTTGACTGGAAGCAAGCAGCCTTGCAGCTTCTGGATCGGTACCCAAACGGCGCCGAGGGGTGAAAAACATGGGACGACCAGGGCAGCGGGGAAAAGGTGAAGGAATTATTGACTGGGGACCCAAAGCTGCGAGAAGATAAATTCAAATTATCAATTTTTATGTTTTCTGTTTATTCTTATTTATCTATTTAAATTCTTGTTTCCATAGGGCCAATAATAGCGAGATGCATCTATTCTTATATTGCGGTGCATGCGGGTGGTGTCCAGCCCCCACTGCCTGCATTCTTCTCCCACCAGTCTTGCTCTCTTTCTTACTACTACTACTCTCATGCTCATTCATGCTCACTCCTCTCCCTCATTCTGCAACCTCACGATAGCGTCCCCCCAAGACGGAATGCCACCCACGGCGCTTCAGCGCAAGGAGACCCCCCCTCCCAGCATCACTGACGAATCCTGCCCTACGCAGCAGAACAGCTACTACTACCTAGTACTACCATCGAGCCTCTCTCTCTCTCTCTCTCTCTCTTCCTCTTCCTCTTCTCACCGCCACCCCCCCTCACATCTCCATCTAATCAACGGCGCTGATGCATTGAAGCCGCCATCCCGCGCTCTTCCAGGTCATCTGCCAGACACTTGCTGAGCTGGCAGCACCTCCACGACGGACATGGAGCCATTTGCCCACAGCTGCACAAATTACTCCGGCACCAAGCATTTCTGCAAGCTGCACCCCCTCTTCTGCTTCTGCTTCTCTTTGGTGCCCTTTTCCCTCTTCCAGGGCCTTGCGTTTTTCTCCGTTGTTTTGATTCTTGGCTTTGGCTTGTCAATGCTTATTTGTTTATGTTTTAATAGTTATTATTTTACTTATTTTTCATTTTTTTTTTTTTTTTTTTTTTTTTTTTTTACATTTTTCCTATGCTTTTTTTCTTCCCCTTGTTCAATCTGGGGCCTCGCTTTTTTCGTGGCCATTGGATTGCCCCATGTGCGTGTCTTGGGGTCCATCCTGAGGCCGTGCAACGAGGCCGACTCGTACAAACAGCTGTGGCTTCAGTGTCACGCACCACTCCGTTATACCCTGACTCCTCGCTTCGCCTTGTCCAAGCGGTATGGGAGAAGTATTACTAAAAGAGATCCCGATACAGATGCGATATCAATGCTTGCTGTCATCCCCGACTTGCAGATGGGGGTGTGCGTTGTCGTTTTGATCACGGTGGGCAAGCAGGCGGCAACTCGACATGGCCTCTTCCCTACCTGTCGTGTATGTATGTGTGTCTCATGTCTCAGTCTCAATCTCGCCTCTATGCCCGTTGGGTGTCTCTCCATGTTTCTGCTTTGCGTGCTGTCTCATGCTTCTCCCCGGCTCATACTGCCGGAGCTACCTGTATCAGTATATGGATGCAGTCAGTTCAACGTGATGTGGTGCATCATGATGTTCAATACTACTAGTATCTGTCACGATAACGCCTGAATAAGGGCCTCCGCAGTGTCTGACCCGGCCACAGCTGTTAATCTCGAATTTATTTCTCTTTATTCGACTTTACCTCTTATTTTGGGTTTGTTGTTAATTCCCTACTTCC